TCCAGGACGGTCGTACGACCGTCGAAGACATTTCGCAACGCACTACTGAGGTGAACTGGTTTCAACAGCTGCCGTAAACGAACTGTCTGACAGATCGAGCTCATTTTTGGCATAGTAATTAAGAACAGTGCTGCCAAACTACATAAACTTAAAATATCGAAAAATATACAGCGCGCGAATTTTAAATGAGAATTTCCGAAAACTTTTCAGTCTTAATGTATTATGCCTTTTATCATAACAAACATGCATTTTGTTTAAGACAGAATATTGAAATCAAAAAATGTTCAATTAACAGTAATTGTTTAAATTATTGTTCTCTACAAGTAACAAAAATATTATTTTATATGCATATAATTATATATATATAATGCAATGACGGTATTCACTCATAAAAGAGATCTTGCAAAGTCATTGCTAGGTATACGAAATACTGAAATGCACAGATAACACGAGCTTGCAATGGGCAATAACAAAATACACGCATATAGTTTCTTGCAATTGCTTGCAATCTTACTATACTTAAACTCATTCCTATACTTAATATGGATTCCAGGGCACAGCGGATTTGAGGGAAACGAAAAAACAGATGAACTAGCGAGAAAAGGGTCGGCCTCATATTATATTGGACCACAACCATTCAACCTTCGTGGAGCTTTTTCAAACTTAAAACTAATGAGTGGCTGGAAAGAGTAGCTCAGACTGATTGTGATAATACAATTGCCTGCGACAAGCCAAAGAATCCATGCCGTTTCGATCAAAAGCCAAAACTAGGGAGCTACTTATGCTGAACAGAAGTGGTATCCGACTTGTCACAAATTCCTCACTGGTCTCTGCGGAGTTAAAAAGCATCTATCGAATCTAGGTATTACTAAAGACGATAGCTGCAGACTTTGTTGCGAAAAAGAGGAAACAGCAGAACATATTTTGTGTCACTGTGATAGTCTTGCCAGACTCAGTCTTCGGTACTTATCCACTGCCTATCCGGATATAACGGAATTAGGCAACATTTCTCCAAAGGACATATTTCCATTCTTAACTGCTACTCGTCTATGGAACTGAAGTGGGTATGCCACAATAATCCTCAAAGGATGCAGTGACGCGGTGACAAGTTCCCAACCCATCCCAAAATCTAATCTAATCTAATACTTGAACTCATGTATTTTACTAACTTACTGCTGTCCTTCGTTCCTAAGTGGAGCATAAGACCTCCTTTATATGTGCTTGCACAATAATCAAAATGACAGAAAACAGCTCTTTTGATATCTCTTGCTTCTCATGTGCATGTGGTATGCTGCAAATACAGCTGTTTTGACATTGCAATTCTGCAACAGATGTGTTCTTGCACTCTTGCAATTTTAGTATAGTAAACCTGCATTTCGTGCACCTTGCAATGACTTTGCTAGAGAGAGTGAATATTTCCAATGTGTTGAAGCTCAAAAAGTAATCAGCGTTAAATTTTGAATTAATTAACATTATAAATTCTTACTAAAAGTAGCATAAATAATGCCATTAAAAAAGGTTTAACAATGTTTTAGCACAATAAGTGAATAAACAAAAAAAACATAAATAAAAATATAAATCCAAAATAATGAAAAGCAATACATAATTTATATTCGTAATCGTTTATAAATTTATTAAGTATTTTTGAATAATATATCCAGAAGTTATAAATAAAAACACTACAATACATAATTTAATAAAATTTCATTATAACATTTGCTGATAAATTATGAGACCAAATAAAGTCTTCAAATAAATTATAAGCATCTGAGTTCGATATTTATTTATTGTTAAATAAAAAAAGTAAACATGAAACTCTACACAATCCTTGTGGTTACCGTAGCAATTTAATATACATCTCTCTTTATGTTTAACTACATCTACTTTAATCTTTTGTTTTTAATCTTCTGTAGAGTTATTTTCTTCAACATTGAAAAACTGTGATGCCCTACCATCTTAAAAGTCTTATAGTGCTCATCATTAATTCTACACGAAATTAGAAAGCAGAGACTTGTTATTAAATATAGAATCTCTTTGAAAGGATATGTTGACTCAGACAATTCGAATGAAGTATTGGGTGGAAACATAATAGCTAAGTGACGACTTGGCCAAAACATTGTGTGAATTCCTATACCAGATTAAAGTACATATGAACTTATCCATCAAACTATCAGATATCTAGGTATATATCTAAGATCTAAGTAACTCAGAACGTCAACTTAATCTAGAAAATAATGAGAATTCGTATCACATTTGATATTCCTGCCCGATATCTCATCTCAATCGAGAGACCAATATTTTCATTAGCAACTTTTCTATTGAAGACATTTGGGTCTTAAAATATTGTAAATGTTTAAAATCACGAATTTTTTTTTTGACTTGAAATTGATTTATCCGCTATTATTTTATTTCAAAGCTGTTTCAGTCTAGCTCTTGCAGTTTTGAGTTAGCGATTTTTAATTATTAAACGCTCAACTATTTTATCTACAGTATTTCTATTACTGTTTGAAATTACATTTTAATCTATTGTTTTATCCATTTACTCTCTTGTAATGAAATTTCTCAGACCTCAACTCAAAAAATTCTGGCACCTATAAGAGACTGATGCAAATCCGTAATACAGATGTCGTAGCGTATCTGAGATGTCTAATTGGCGAGAAATAAACTTACTCATTTTGTTTTGGACTTAACATGGTTACAAAGTACAAAAATTACTTACACAAACTTTGCAAATCGAATATTTGGTCCAGCCATTCTTCATCTTTTATGCACCCACATTTTTGTTTTCACGCGCAAGTGAAACAAAATTTCCTCAAATGCCATTAGCGTTAATGTTCTAAACTCTAAACTTGATGTAAAAGTTTTAGGCTTTAATGGGTTTATTTGTTTTTCCGCCATTTTTCATCTATTTCCTTACATTTATTTTACTTGATTTGATTTTTTTTCTAATTTTTTCATTTTGCCATTGTTTTATATGCCCTTTAACTAATTTATTTTTTCTTCTTGCAACATATTTTTGTAGCCGCAGTACACTTCACAAAACTTTATCTGGCAACTGTAAACTGCAAAAGAATTACTTAAAATATCTTTTCTTGAGATACTAAACTCGATATTCCACAAACAAATGAACTTCATTCCTACATTAAAGATTTTCAAGGAAAGTAAAAGTGGTTGAGTGTAATTTAAAGAGAACAAAGATTTTTCTAAAAATTTTATATGCCACAAACTACTCTAAAGAGAAGTCCAAGAAAATCCCTCGTATTTTTGTTTTCTTTGCAAAATATACACAGCATGTAGGAATACTAAAGATCTTTATGAACGACCATATAAACATTTTGACTACTTCACCACATTCAAGCTGGTATAGCAGAGTTGAAGCCATGTATGAGTTTTTCCCAGCGACTTTTTAGTCTGAAGTCTTTGTTTATTAAAACTAGAATAAAACAAATAAACAACAAAATGCAGAAAATATTTAATATTTTATTAACATATTTAACCAATTTGAAACACTCGAAACGTATTAATATCCTTTCAATATTATGTTAAAAAAAGCAGTACAGCACTTATTCAGCGTACCCATTTAATCTGAGCTATATACCTGAAACTCTTAGAATCTCTCACAAAAATATGTTAGCACAAAAAAGCTACTTTTCAGCAGTAATCCAAAATGATATATATAATCGCTGAGTAATAAAAATTTGATTATAATTTAAAAAAGATATATTTACTAAGAGTTAACTTTTTTTTTGACATTATCTTCATGCCGAAGATAATGTCGTTGTACAAGTAACTAAAGAAATTTTATGGTGGAGGCTCATTTTTCATAATCAACCAAACACTGAGAATCAAACAAAGTCTATACAAAAATAGAACTTCAGTTCAAAAATCCTTTTTATCTCAAAAATAGTTCATTCAAATACCTTAACTTGTGTATCAATGTTTAGACCAATAAATATTCTTTAAGTCTATATATAGTACGAGTATAAGTCAGATTCTAACAAAAATAGATGCTTTTAACGTACAATAGCTATCAGTGTCTGATGTAATCTATCTGAAGTAAAAGATTTTTTAGAGTCTTGTTTAAAGAAGTTTGCCGTCAGTTCCCTTGACTGTTCCATTAATGTGTTGTGTGGCATAAATAATTCTGAGACCTTCATATTGTATATAGTATATAGTATTTTATCGTATACAAATACAGGGATTTAATTATTAAACCATTACTAGCTTCAATCAATTATTTTAAAGAATGGCCGTCATTTTTAAGCCCATATATAATGATAAAATCTCACCACATGATTGTGTTCTAGTCACTTCTATAAATATGTTTAAAAAATGATTCAGATTAATATAGATAATCTTTAAAAGAAAATTTTGTTAATTGCAGAATAATGATATATTTCATTCGAAAAAGGCTTAGTTACAATTCAGATTATTTTATGACACCCTAAAGTGTATGAAAACTATTATAAGAAATAAATACAACATCCATTGAATTTTGTGGACCATTGCATTAAATCTCTGACAGATAATTTAATTGTAAAAAAAAAGTTTCTATTGCCACAACATTTTAGATAACTGCTAAACTAGAGATTGTTCATCCTTACAAGTAAGGTGAAGAGTTTTTTCTTAGGAGAACAGGTCTAAGTTTGTTGGCACATTATTTGGCAGATTCCACGATTTGTGTTGGTATGTCAACATGACGGTTTAGTTTGAGAAGATAAAACTACTATGCTTAAAGGCTGATGGTACCGTTAGTCATATTCTGAAAGTACCTTAATATGTCGGGAGGCGAATACGACGTCAGAAGGTTCCATTCCCATCTGATATGTAATCTTTAATAAAAGATGTTATAGCCTTCATTTGATAAGCTGAATGTCTCTGGTTAAGTACGGGTTGTTTGTAGTCTAAAATGATTTACAATAATCGCAATACTTTCGTTCATTGGGAGTTAGTATGCCTTTGATGTCTGTTTCTGTTTTTTGGCAGAAAAGAAAAATTCGAAAAATTTAATTTTTTTTATTAAGAAAAAAATGTAAAATGTGTGTTCTAAAACAGAGAATTTAAGCTTTGGTTATTTTATATCTGGTCATTATCTCATGAGATAAGTTTTTTAATTTCATTACAGCAATATTTATTTTTCGTTCCACCATTTTTTCTTCTTTTTCAGCTAATATCAAGTCATGCTTTACCTCTACATATTGAGCCACACTTGGCGCATCAAAGTGTTCCAGCTTTTCCCTTAATTTAGTTATGTTTCGAATATCTTTATTATATAAATTTGTTTGTGCTATTAATTCAACTTTGAACTTCTCAATTGCATTCCTTATATCATTTAATTTTGCATCGCTACTCATTTTGTCCTCACGAACAGAAATAAGTGCTTCTCGTTCTTGATTCATGACTCTGTTAACAAGACCTGACATATTTTTTATTTCTGTGATGTTAACACGTCGTTCCTTATATATTCGACGATATCTATTTCTGCGTACCACGAGCAATTCAAAATCATTTTGAGTTGTACTAGGTGCTAGAGCTTCTTTCAATTGTAGCTCATGTGACTTAGCAAAACAGCCCTCCTCTATTGTATTCCTGCGCAAACGAATACCTAATATGAGCGAATTAGCTTTATTGAACCAATTATTTGTAAATTTTTTTAATATATCTAATAGAACTTTTTCTTTTTCTGCATGTTTGAAGCTAATATTACTTTTGTCTATTATCTGCTGAAATTTTCTTTGAGCTTCTTCCGCTTCTTGAGTTGTAATATCTAAGTCGATGACAATGGCGTTTAAAATTCGTATCTCTCGCATACCTTGCAAATCATTTAATTATTATTTACTCTTTTATAATTGTTTCTCAAATAATTTTAATAAGAATTAAATTACTTACCACTGATGCGATTCTTTTTCGAGGACTTCTCTATTTCACTACAAAGTTTTTCAGTAAGTTCAATCTTGGTGCGATATTTTACGTGGTATCGTATTGACAGACGCTCATCACAGCTTGTTGAACGTGTTATAGAGCTCAATTCTAGACCCATCCTAGAAAAACTTGCCCTTACTCTTTCATAGCCCTTCAACATTTTTGGATCGTTTTTTCTAAAAAAGTCCTCCAAAACAAAATTTTCAACTTTAGTAAACATGAGAGCATTACTTATATTCTGAAGAGCGGTGTATAATTCTAAGGCGTCGAATTGATCCAAGTGTTTTACTTTGCCATTTGAGTTTAGTGATTTGTAGACATCCAGTTGTAATCGAATAACTAAGGTCTGCACTATAGCATCGATTTGATTTGAAGTGACAGCTATCGACCTTATAATTGTACTGGCCTGTGTGGACGTTGATGGAAGCGATTGTTCCGAATATATAGACGACATATTTGCTCAAGTAAAAAAGTATAAATTTACAAATTTGCAAAAAGTATGAAATTATGCAAAATATAAAAATTAAAAAATATATCAAAATAATTAAAAAAATCCTAAAAAAATAAAAAAGATTAAAATGCAAAAAAATTGTAAAAAATTCTAAATAAAATTTAATTCTATATGAAGAAACTTTTGAAAAACTTTTAGTTTGAACTGAAACTGCAACGTTACTAGATGTTACATGCAATGCCTAAAAAGTATTAAAATTGTCTTAAATATACGTATAGTACATGCTTTATATATACAATGTATATATACGTATTCTTGCAAATGAATTACATACATATATTTAACAATGTGCAACTTTCTGTAAAGTCTGACTTCCAGAAGACTCGTTACAGCTAGCGAATTGTGAAGGTGTTCTATTGCACCTGAGTTTTCCATAAGTCCATCTTATCTGCCATATCCCACGTTTGCTAGGAAAAGTGCTCTGTAACCCCGTATGGATTTTGTTGAGGTGAATGGGTTATTCACCCTTTAATACAGTTATATTCTTAAATCCATCAATTGTGTAAGTAAGCTAAGGAAACTATCTGCAGAGATTGCACGATAGATGCATAGGTCAAAATTACTTTTTTAAATCAATTTAAAGTACTTTGTTTTCTAGTTCTGGTACAAATTATCATTTGCGCTTTGAGGAAAGCGCCAACTTTGGAGAAATCTTTCATTTGAGTAAAAAAATTTAGGTATTGACTGGTATATAAATATTTGGAAAAAAATTAGATTATTTGTGATGCAGTTGGTATGGCAGTCACTATGTACTAGTATCAAGATGACGGATACGTTGTTTTGTCTACTTAGAGATGATTTCTAAGTCTATGAAAATTTTAAAAGTATTTTGTAATATTTTAGACACTAGAAAATTAATGAGATATTAAAGCAATAATATTAACAACAAAACTCCAAAGCGCGAACACGCAAGTCAAGTATGGCTTTATGTAAGTTGGTTAATGAACGCTGACGCTGAGCTTTAAATTTGGCAGGGCACGTCTCAAAAAATCAATAATGAATAATAAAATACAAGAAATGTTTCCAAGACCACTGATGATGGGTATTTGGTAATGCTCGAAACAACTGTATGGTCAATTAAAGAAAGTAATATGAAAAAAATTTTTGTTGTAGTTTATTACTTTTCAAAATCTCCCTGGTATGAGTATTCGCATAAATTCTTCTAGAGGTGAAAGAAAAGTCAACGAGTCAAAGTTCATTTTCTCAAAGTATTTACAATTATCAATAGCTTGCATTCTTTTTAGCATTGATATTTGGAGATTATTATATTATTAGCGAAAGTAGCTTTAAATAACAATTAAGTAATATCATTTTACTTTTCGATATTCACACGCACTTCAAAAATAAAATCTGAGCAGTGCTTATAAATTGCATCCCAAAAGTGGGAATACGTAGTCCAAAGGATACATGAAAGTGAAATCAAAAAGACAAAAAAAAAAAAGAAAATAAGAAAGTAAATATATAAAATTTACTTAAATATATATATAACCGAAATTATCTGAAATGCTGAACTAAAAAGGACAACTTAAGCATACACCATTTCGAAGGATATGCATAGAAATCCTTCTAATGTTGATAATCGAATATGTACATAAATATATTTACATTTACTTTATTTATTGTTTATGTACATATATGCTTAGTATGTATATATTCCCCCAATTTTCCCACTCATTGAAATGTATTGAGTTTGTTTAGTTTTTTTTCGTCCTCTGCCACTTCAATTTGGTATTCTACATCACCATCATCTCGGAAAATCGCTTATCTAATACGCTTGGGAAATTAATTTAATAGTGAAATATAAAATGCAAAAATACACAATTTCCGAATTTAGCATTTTTGGTTTTTTTTTATTTTTGTTTTTGTTTTTGGTTGATTTTCCTTTTTGTTATTTAAGCAAATTGTTAGTTTCCACTTTTTAGTTGCGAAATTTGATTTTGTTAAAAAATCTCTAGAAAACTTATTTGTGGAGGAATAAAAAGCTTGAGTGAAGTAACTCGTTGTTCAATGCCTTAAGGACATTAGCATTATTAAAACAACAAAACATGCTTATCTAAAAAAAAACAAAATAAATAACTTAATAACATTACAAACTAGAAATCACTATATAGTATCATATATATGAATAAGTTATCTTCTAAATGTCTTAGTTAGTTGCATTGAACTTTCCCAACCAGTTTTTGAGTTTTCGCTGAAAGACAGATTGGCTCACATCCAATTTGACGTCTTCGTTTAATGAGGCCCTCAGTTTTCGTCTTTTTAGCACTGGAACTGACCATAAAGTCACTTGATTGCTGTGTTTTCCATGACTTTCTCACAGAAAGAACATTGTGAAGGGTGGTGATTGGAAACTTAGATCTGAATTAAAATTAATAATTTACATTGAACAAAATGTGAACGATTGTGTACGGACTTTCAGATTATACTCACAGATGAAAAAAAATAAAAAAACAGAAGGATTCAAATAGAAATGAAAAGACATTAACAAAAATTTTAGTTAATTCATTGAAGTTTGGCTGACCATACATCGCTTTTTCGAGTATGCGAATATTGTATTGGCAATATTCAAGCTTTTAAATAATTTCTTTTCATCATAATACGTGTTATTTTCGGCAAAAAAAAATTTAAAATAAAAATTAACTATTGTTCACCTGATCGTTTAATCTGTTCCCTATGTTCTTTGTTTATGTTGCCTAGAATGAAAGGGTGCAAGATTTTCGAAGTCTGAAATGCGACGAATGATAAAAAATAGTGGAAAATAAATGATCTTATTGTAAACTCAATCTTTACTTTGGAATATTCATTGTTAAGTTCCCAGACTGCATTTTCATCCCTTTCTGATAAAACACTGCTGATTGGAATAATATTTTAGCCAAAGAAGTACTTTAGAAATACATAAATGTTAGTTCAGTAAAATGTATATTAAAGCAACTCAACAGATTTTTTTAGAATTCGTAAGACAGAGCGGTAAAGGACTTATCCATGTTTGGCACAGAAATCTTAGCCAAAATTAGTAACCTTCTTTAACATTAGTGAAAAAAATATTAAAATAACAACTTTTATTGTTATTGTTATTATTATTGTTAATGTTGTTGTTATTATTTTGTTCACATTTTAATTTGAATATATTCTAGGTTAGATTAGATCAGGTTATACCGGCGATGCCAAGACCTATAAGCCAGTATAATTAAAAACTAAGGGTTAGAACCACTTAGAACATTTGGCAAAGCTCATAATGCTATTCAGAGGAAGATCTTATTGTTTGCCAAGATCCTTGAAAACGAAAACCCATAAAGTGATAAGGCGGCGCCGAGCATTTACTGGACAGTAGCAAAACAAATGTGAGGCATTTTCATCGTCCTCTCCACAACTGCAGCAAGTATGGTTGAAAGAAAGATTTAGTTTCTTAGCATGGTTATCTAAAATACAATGGCCTGTAAGTAAACCTACTACAAGATTGATATCTCTACGGAACAACTCAATGAGAGATTTTGATTTTCTCTTATTAGACTATGGCCAAATTTCATACAGATATCTGCATTTCGTTGAGTCCTTTCATCTTTTGTTAAAAAGTTTGGCACAGGAAGAATTGTTTAATTGTTTCGAGTGATTTCCTGAAGCCTTACTTGGCTAGCTCGTTTGCTTTGCAGTTGCCGAAAATAAATTGGACTGAATTAAAGACTTCAAAGCACTTTGACTGTCCGATAGTATGTATATAATATGTAAATATATATAATATATATATATATCATATTTTATATTATATTACATGTATATTATAAACGTATATTAAGTATATCATCTAATTCTAGACAAACTATAACTTCTCTTATAGAAATCACTTCTGTCGAAAAAACACTGTAGTGATCTGGGAGCCTGTAGTAAGAGAATATATTCAGCCCTTCTGAGAAAACTCCACTTCCTACTCCACTTCTAGCTTTTTAACAGGAATGGCATATTGTTTTAAGGCATTCTAAAAAACAAATATATGAATTGTGAAATTGTTCTATTTGTAAAAGTTATAATTAATAGGTATATAAAAAAATATTTTGATACCCCTGAAGATGTTGAAATAAAACCATCGATATGTCGAGTTAAAAAATGGAATAAAATAAATAGTGAATATTTATTTGTGTCTCATATTTAGGATCAGAGTAGCCTAAGTAAAAATTAAAATTAAACAACTTTTCATCGACAGAGTTGTAGCAAACGTATCCATATTGGGGTCAGGAAGTTGTCGCATACAACATATGGAAAACATCTAGTGTGTTCATTTTCAATTTCGGTACTCTAACTATTTTTTTCATATATTACTCTTCTTGATTTCCGATTATTGCAATCTATTGGATTTCAGATTATAGGTTTGCTCAAATAATTAGACCTGGTTAACATATACCTATATAACTTCAGAGTTATGAACATGTATTCAACAATTTATCACACACAGTCGTTTGTATTCCACACGTTGAATTTTTTATATTTTAATGACTTTGTTAAAACTTTAAAGAATTCCGATATAAAAAAAAATTTTGCAAAATTGACTTAAAAGATTTTCGCCCTCAAAGTGCGGACAAAAATATGTTTCCACTTGCGCGCGTATTCAGATGCAGATATTAACTTTGAAGCACGTATGTACATAATTTTAACAGGAACATAAATAACGACACTCACGTAAAATATTATCACATGAGTATATCCTTTGGCAGGATGTGTTGAAAGTTCCATTCTTTTCATTTCTGCGCTGCCGTTGCCCCAAGCCCCTAACCATTGCTTGGCGCTGTGTAAATGATGCCGCTTTAAAGATAAAATCTTCCACACTTGTGTAATTAGATTTTTTCACATTAGATTTCAAAGTTGGAATGGTGATATTGTGATATTATTATTATGATTGCTACATACACTCAGCCTTAGACGGAGGCATTAAATCTCCGACCAAATTGTTTGCGTTGAAATACGAAGCTTAGATTGCAAGTAGGCATCCACCTCCAAACAAGAATGCTCTGATATAGGGTTTTGAAGTAATT